GAGCCTCTGAATCAGCATAAGAACCCTCACCAAGAATTTTATCTTGGGGAGCCTCATAACCTTTCTTTAAGCCTTGGAGCTCAAGAGATTTTGCCTCTTCCCCCTATAAAGCCCTCCATTGTATTTGAGATGAATTTTCAAGAATGGCTGATACTAATTGTCCCCAGTCCTTAGGGGTCACTCTATTTGTCCTTGCCCTTGAGTCTAACTAACATTTGGTGGACATAAGGGAAATGTATTCCATAAGAGACAACAGCTTCCTTAAAATCTTTAAGGTCTTTCATCTGTATTGGCTCACACCAATATGCAAAGCAGTCATTCAGGTGTTTTTTTCCATTGCTGGTTTGTCAGTCATAGTCACTGGGAAAACCATAGGAGAGGGCATAACAACCTTAGGAAGGTCTTCCTGGCATCTGAAAAGTGTAGGTAGTTTTAAACCTCTTTCATGACCTACTGTTTGTGTCTCTGATTCTAAAGTATCAGATTGAAGGTCTTCTAAAACATGTAATCTCTTCACCATTGTTTCTCTGAGTGTTTGGACTTCCTGGATCATACAAGTTTCTAAAGATTTCATAAAAATCGGTCAGTCTCTTGTTTTCTTCATTTATATATGATTCTAAACATTTAATATTCTCATCCTTAGATATTATCTGAATGGCATATAAGCTGCCTTCCAGTAATTGTGTTCTGTCTGGTAGCCAGCTAGTATCCTCAGACATGGAACCAATTTTTTTTCTGCTAGTTTTTCAATTTGAAGTTACACTCTTTGATTCTTATTGAGTCATCAGACATGGAACGAGTTGTTTCCACTAGTCTGTGAATGCTATCTTGCACTGTTGCTATTTGGGTCATGAAAGCAGCAGGCACGGAACAAATTCTGCCTTCTAGATGGCCATTTTTATGTTCTAAGGCTCCCATTCTGTTGGTCACTTCCTCATCGTTCTCGATGTTCTGAATCCTTCTCTCTAAGTTATCAATAGTTTGCTCAAATTCCTTCTTCTTTCTTTAAGGATGTAATATGAATTATGAAGCTAATCATTGTTAAATATAACTATATTCTGGGCAAGTCATAATCCTCTTCTAAGATACCACCCGTATAAGAAGCAAAAAGATCCCTAACGTTTTGCATTGTAAGATTATCTTCCATTGGTATAGAGTAAAATAATCTTATTTATTATTACTAGCTTAAAACATAAGGAATGCGATACTTCAGCGATTTCCTAGCCTCTGGGCTGCGGTGTGGATTTCAACTTGCAGTAACTATGTTTGGCTAGCAGGTGGCTCAGGCGCACCGCAAAACAGAATTCAGCCACAGACGGTTGCTCAGATTCCAAATGGAATCTGTAAAATTCTAAGTAGCTTTTACACAAATTTAAAGCAAGCAGGATTTTGTTAAAGGGGGGGGTTGTTAAATGAGTCCCATGCAAATCGCAGCGGCAGGAGATAGTCGGTTGCGGAGTTGGAACCAATCCCGCTGTGATGGCAGCTGCATCAAGAGTTCTGCTGCACTGAGCAGTTAAGCTTCAGAACCGGGATGTTGCAAAGTGGCAGAGACCTGTCTGTTTGGGGCTGCAGCGGATGCAGGGTAGGGAAAAATCTGGGGTTGGGAGGTTGCCACGGGATAGGGGAACCTGGGAATACCGGGTGTAGCTGGAGCTGGCGCTGTGTTTGTGGTGTTGGCTTCCACGGTGGCGGGGGCATGTCCCGTGAGTGCCCCTCCCACAGCCCTGGCACCAGCTGTTGACGAAAGTAACAGTACACGGAATAAGGGTGTTGTTGCTTATTTATTGTGGGAAAATACTTACACAAGGACCCGAAAACCCAGGTGAGTCTTTGCAGCCTTTCAAGCCCCGATGGAACCCCACAAAAAAGGAGCGAGTGTCTCTATCCTCAGGTGTTTATTCCACATACTGCACTTGTAGCCACGCCCAAATCGTGCGTGGTCAGTGGCTTAAGTACCCAGATTTCTCCCTACAAATTGACTAATATAAGCATTCATTATATTTGTTTACAAAGAGAATGGGCAAAGTTTAAGAAGAACTAGTGAGTGGAATGACAAGGTCAAACTGCCAAGACAAAAAAATAATATCTGAAACACAAAAAAGAAAAATACAAATAAAAAAGCATGCTCATTGGGCCATTGGTGTAGGCAAGTGAACTGACTGTCAACCTAAGATTTCTAGAGTCAGACTAATGGAAAACCTGTGATCCATCTGTTTCCACTGGATTATGCCTGCGTAAGTGCCATCCGGGCCACTGCTGTAACTCAGTACCCATACCTAAGTGCTATTCCTATCGAGTGAGTCAATTACTGCAGGTCTACATAGGATGGCTCATCACAGCTCTGACTGGCATTGAATGATACAGCTAACACTTTTATCAGGGCCAGATAATCATGGCTGCAACAGCTACAAATGCGGAGAGGTCCGTAGCAGCAAACTTCAGAGCCGATGCAGCCAGTGGTACCCAAGGCATGGATGATGTCCTTGTCTTCTGCCTCCACCAGAGATTCTCAATCTCCCTTAGTCTTGATCTACACGTCTGTGGGTTGTTCCTTGTTCAGCGGGGTTACCCCCAACCCTTACTCCTTAAGCCATGGTTCTCAATTCTGTGTTCCTCTAATACAGTTCCTCCTGTTGTGGTAAACCACCCTGACCATAAAATTATTCTCCTTGCTACTTCATAACTGTAATTTTTGCTACTGTTATGAATCGTAATGTGAATATCTGATATGCAGACGGCCTTAGGCAACCCCTGTGAAAGGGTCATTCAACCCCCAAAGGGGTTGAGACCCATAGGTTGAGAGTGGCTGACTTATGGCTTTGATCCCTTAGGCACATAGATGTCCTCATACTGTGACTGGTTTACCATCAAAATTGTCCCTATTACCATACCACCAGTTAGGGAAACTTGAGTGAATTCATTGAATTAACAGATCAACCTTTCCTTGCTCCCATTGTGGAGTGGCAAATTTGTGACCACATGATCATCTATTTTTATAAACTCTACTTATATAACATCTATTTGTATAAACTCCATTGTTTTCCATCCTTGCCTTCTTGCTTGCGAGTAAAAGGAACCAGAAAGACAAAGCATGTTTCCAGTTTATAATCCAGGGCATACGTCTCCCCCCCCCCCCCCCGTCTCATAAGTCAGGATTTCTTATCTGACAGATCCAGTTAACACAGGGGCAGGAGCTACAAATGTGACCCCTGAGTCACTAGGAGTGATGATCAGGGAAGCAGTGAACCTACTTCTACCTTTTGGGTTAAAACACTTTGCCTAAACAAATATTAATGAATCAAACAAAAAAATTCCATTGCAATTAAAATGGAGGGGGAAAAAGATGACAGTCACGCAGTTACCTGCTGAGAGATCATTTGCTCACATTTATTTTCCAGTTACACTCTGTGGTGTCTGTAGAGACTCTGTATATCTCATGGCCTCTGACTATCCCTGTGTGAGATATCCTATCTTGGGTCATTTAACTTCAGATACTTACCTGTTTAAAGACAACTACAGTTAAAGAAAACAAACAGACTTTCTTCGCCTGGGCAAGCTAGGAGGGAGGCAGCCTCATGAGGGTTTTTGCATAGGAAGGAGGTGTTTTTGCAAGGCTGTGGCTAAGCTGCTGGCACAGAGGTACAGAGCTGAGTCCTTCAGTGTTGTGGGTTGTATCTTGAGAGTGAAATACGAATCATCCTGCCTTTCGACTGAAAAACGATCCTCCTTGAATAGTTCAGACTTGTCCATGGTGTTACCATTGTAGAAAGAAACCAGGAACTCCATCTGCTGCCCCAAGGTCTGTTTATACCAAAAGAAGTATAGGTGACTAGAGACAGGGTCACAGCTGAGGGTCACCGACTGCCCCACATGCGTCACTTGATGACTTGGGAACTGTATGACTTCGGGTCCTGCATGTCCTGCGGAAAGAGAAAGAAGATTAATAGAACGGTTTAAAATAGTCTCAGTATGAAATGAAACCTGTCTAGGACTCTTAAGAGCCCACCTGCTTTCAGGAGACTAAGAAGTACCCAACATAGGAGCCAGAGGTCCATAGTAGGGTCACAGCAGGAATGTAGCTTCTCCTTGCTTGAGCTACTGCTTGATGTCCTAGTGTGAGAAACTAAGGTGAGACATACTAAGCTCCTATGGTCCATTGGCAAGGTCTGACAGTCCCTGGTGAGTGGTAATAGAGTGCCCTCTGCTGGAGGAAGGAGCAAACATGCCAGACACCCGGGCTCAGAAGTCTGTTCTGTCTGATGGTGTGCACAGAGCAGAGAGCCGTTACCTGGAGTAATCACGGGGAAATCGGCACTCAGCAGAGGAAGTTCCAGGAATTAGGTCTTTCTCAGAAACGCCAGGAGGTTTTCTTCTTTGTTACTGTGGTGAGGAACAACCCAGAGGCACCTGAGTCTACAGTTACTACAAAGATTCAGCAGGAAGATTAGAGAGATGAAGGAAAGAGTCGAGAATGACAGTGTCAAATCCCCCATCCCCCCATGGGAGGGAAAACCAAGAGCTGAGACCCTGACCATAAACAAGGAGACTAAGTCCACCTGTGGTATAGATCAAACGAAGAGCGGTTTTCCTGGGATTTGGGAACTTGAGGAGCTACGTAGGAGGAGATTAAGTGTCATGGAAAAGGCGTGAGCATACTTGGAGCACGAATGAGGACCGAGGTACAACCTCTTCTTGAAAAGAGAAGTCACCTGAGTCTTACGGGGAATTCTGTCACCTGTCTGCTAGCGTTTGGAACGGAGCACGTGGGTCCTAAGGGCAGAGTTTTTGTTGGGAGTGTACCTGACCTAAAGATAAGGTGGAGCCCGGAAGATGCAGCGAGATCAGCAGTGAGCCGGTTCGGATTATCTGTTCTGTTTTGGGATAACTGTGCAAGCACCTTGCTTGTTAATAAACGTTGAAGTAATTACTTGACTCCCTTCATTACATGAGGGGACATGTGAGAACAGTCAAGTGGTTTCATAAAAGATTTCTCAGGGCTACAAACCCTTGAAACAACTTAAAATTGAGTTTTTTATTTTTTTATTTTCAGGTCCATATTCAACAGGAGGCCCAGTCTTACTCAAGTCAAAGACTGCTGCTGTGCAGACATAGAATTTGGCACTATGATATCTAGTTGTCAGGTGGTGCTGTGGTCTGAGGTTTCCACGTGAGTCCTGTGGACCACTGACGGAGTCTCGGGGCTCAGGAGGACCTGCTACAGCCGCAGTTTCCTGGGTAGACTGAGGAGGTTTGTGTACAGGGGCCCAAGATCTCTGCAAGGCTGTGTCTTGGCTGCTAGCACAGAAATAAGTGGCCGAGTCATCGGGCTCCAGGGCTGAGATCCGAAGGTCTAATTGGGATTTCTCTGGATTGTGAGGTTGGAAGCGGTGCGGGACAGTCTGGTTTTCAACCAGGGCTCGATAGTTATAGGAAAACATGAGCTCCAGGGACTTCTTAGCACTTTGCCTATACCAGTACATGGCATTGTGGTTTAGATGCTGCGCACAGGTCAGGGTCCTTTCATTCCCCGTGAGTGTCACCAGGTGCTTTGGTGTCTGGTCAATTCTAGGGTCCACGGGGCCTGTGGGAACAAGAAAAAAATGCAATCCTCGAGAAAACCACAGAAGGATGTTCCCTGGAAAACCACAGAAGGATGTTCCCTGGAAAACCACAGAAGGATGTTCCCTGGAAAACCACAGAAGGATGTTCCCTGGAAAAACACAGAAGTGTATGGACCGTAGCTAGGACTCACCTGTCATCAGGAGCCAAAGGGCCAGGCAAGTGAAGAGCCTGGAACCCATGGTAGCGGCACACAGGATGGGATCTATGTCTCCCTCTTGGGGTCCCGGCGGTGTAATTTACTGACCCTGTGAGAGGGTTTGCTTGGGTGTCCCCTGCTCCTGTAGATGGCCTCGGTTCACCCTCCCCACAGCCCCCACCCCTGCCCGCCCTTTATGCTTGTCAGGGATGACCATGCATACATTGGCTCCTCGACACAGACCATACCCAGCTGTCTCCCAAGGCTCTTCAGACAGTTCCTGGCACCAGCAAACGGTAGGTTCTTTCCTCTTTCTGCTCCTCCTCCTCCCCGACACACGGGTTCAGTTCCTTTGGAGGGCGCCCTTCCTTCTGCTCTCTCACAGACCCGGATCAGGAACGCACAACCTTTCTTTCCTTCACCCTAAGAAAGGCGGCCTCGTTGCTCAGCGCAGCCTTTTCTGGAACCAGCTGTACATCATTTCAAGACACAGTAGTTTAATAGCGAGGTAAGAAGCACCTCGGTGAGCGCTGAGAGGGGAAGGAGAGCAATACACTGCAGCCCCACACCAGCCGGAAACTCAGGGACCTTAGCCGATCAGGAAGTGCCAGGGTCTTTGAGTCAGACTCACACCATCTCTCGACCAGGACCAGGAACAAAGCCAGATGCTTTACTCCCTGCCCAAATCCCTTCCCATCCTCGCTTCTCACCCACCTCTATCAACAGCATCAAGAGTTTCAGAGAAAACCGAGTCCCTCCCCACTTACATGCCTGCAAGAAGACATCAGTTGTTTTCTCAAAGGGGCTGGCTGGTCCCTGGTCAGCTCCTGTGAGCATATGGGCAACACAAATCGAAATAGTTTCTTTTATTGCTTTCTTCTTTCTTTTTGAAGGGGGGCACCGCAAGGGTTTGGGGTGAATACCTGGGAGGACTGGGAAGTGAGTGTGATTGGGATGCATTGTGTGAAATTCCTAACAGTCAATAAATAGATTGGGGGAAAGTTTTCCGTGAAGTCATGCTCCCCCTAGAGGACAAACCAGTACATTGCACTCCTCCCAGTTCTCATCCCCCACTCCCACCCCATGGCTCATGAGCTCGAGACAGATGTGTAGAAAGATTAACCAGGGTTGTTGAACTACGGGAGTCCATGGGCTACGGAGGCATTTGAAGCCCCAAGGAAATATGTGCTGACTGACAGCGTCAACAGTGGAACACCCCCAAATTAGTCATAAGTACTGAATGCATTCCTACTTGTCGGGCTCTGCTCACACACTGGGAATGGGGGAGTAAAATCGACGACTTATGGAATAGGCTATTTTACTTTGTTTAAAAATCACCAATGAATAGCGTTCTTCCTGAATGCTAAGAATGGAGGTTTTGGTGCACACTTTGGGAAAATTTAAGTGTTATTGCTTTAGGCACCTAAATAATCTGTATTCTCATTTCCACTGAAAGCTCAATGCAGGTACGGGTTGCAATAATTATTTGAAGTCCCCTGCCAAACATCCAGACTGTTGGGTTAACCTTCTGCCAAGATGCCGCCTCATCTTCTGTACCAGGAACTCCAGTGTCGCCCAACTCTGTCACACAGAGCTTTACATGGTGCGGGCAGTTAGCTGTGTTTCTTAGTGACTGAGTAGATTATCGCGATACCAAATAATAAAAGATCACATGTAAAGGGCACGTCTAAATATTTCAAAGCATGCTGCCAAGGTGGTGATACTGGCACTGGCTTATTGATGTTTGGTGGTCTTGCCTAGGTTAAAAGTGCCATCTCAAGATTTAGGATCGGAATGTAGCTAAGTACAACTACCTGGGGTGAGGCAGTCGAACGCTGGTACTTTAAAGGCGGTGGTCATGGAACAGGAGCTTTTCAGGATGTGCCTGGCATTGTTGGAAGGACCTATGGGAATGGGGAGGGGCGTTTCCTGTCTTAACTCCCTCCCCCTTCCGGTCAGGATCCCCTCATTCTTTGTAGGCTCCATCGCTTTATGACACGTTTCCCCTGCCTTAGTCTTGTATCTATTACTTATCTGGAGACAGCTGTCTTCTGTTAGTGGGGAGCAGATATTTAGGAAATAGGGTGTGAGCTCTGGATGCGTGTTTGGAATATCACACTGTTCCCAGGGCATCGGAGTAACTAAAGTAGCAAGCATACAGACAACTGATTTTTTTTTTTTTTTGGTTTTTACGAGACAGGGTTTCTCTGTATTGTTTCGGAGGCTATCGGTCCAGCCCGGCCTCGAACTCACAGAGATCCGCCTGCCTCTGCCTCCCGAGTGCTGGGATTAAAGGCGTGCGCCACCACCGCCCGGCTACAACTGATTTTTTTTAAAGATGTATTTATTATATACGCAGTGTGCTGTCTGCATGTATGTCTGCAGGCCAGAAGAGGGCACCGGATCCCATTACAGATGGTTGTTGAGTCGCCACGTGGTTGCTAGGAATTGAACTCAGGACCTCTGGGAGCAGCCAGTGCTCTTAACCTCTGAATCATCTCCCCAGCCCCCACATGTATTTCTGATCCTATATATCCATACGGAAAAACTGGGAGTTCACTCATACTTCTACTTCTGAGATTCTCCCTTCCCGTGTCTGCAGCTTTCTCGGCCAGTGCTGAGAACCCTGACATGTGTTCCCCTCACTAGGTGAACATATCCAATCACCAGTCTATCTCAGCTGTCTCCCTCTCTCACCTGCCAATACCCGCCCCACTCTGCTCAGGATCTGGCTCCTCCAGCCTGAAGGGCAGCATGTGGAAGGCCTCCTCAGTTTTCCACGCCCCACACAAGGCCTGTGCTGTCCTGCATGGCCTTCTCCATCTGCTGGGCCTCCCAAAGCCTGCATGAGGCTGCTTCATGTGTCCCATTTGTACTCTGACACCACACTCCATGGTGCCTACTCTTCACCTTAGACTGTCTCCATCTCCTTGGCCAGGACCCTCTTGCACAGACACAAATGAATTCACTTTTTTTTAGTCCTCTGACGACAGAGGTCTTTTAATTGGAGGTGTGTGTAGTCATGGTTTCTTTGGGCTGCCAGCTCACATATAACAGCGTGGAAACTTAGTATTAGTTATGAAGACTTGAGCTTTAGCTTAGACTTGTCTCAACCAGCTCTTATAACTTAAATTAGCCCATTTATATTGACGTACGTTCCGTCATGTGGTGTTACCTCTCCTCCGTCTGGCACATCCTGATTCCTCTCCATGTCTATCTTGTAACTCTTCTGCATGCCTAGATTGATCCTGGGTCTCTCTCTTTGTCTGGAAGTCCCTCCTCTTCTCTCCTGCCTAGCTATTGACCATTCGGCAATTATTAAAACGATCAGAAAGTGCCTTGGCAAAGACGCATCTTCACAGTGCCCATAAATATCCCACACGTGTGCTTATTGTGTAATTTGAGGCATCAATAATATGGTTGAAAGGGAGGCTTTGCCTGACCCCCTATGCTGCAGGCACATCTTCCAAGGATGGTGGCGACAGCCGCTGAACACGTACCTGGGTACTCTGAGTCCTTTGCATTTCTCTGCTCTTTTTAATCCACCCTGTTCTGTTGGAAGCGTTGATGGTTTCTTGATACTGCAAACCCTAGAATCTTGACCTCTGTCCTGACCACTTGGTGCCTCCTAAAGATACCTTCTGTGCATTTGGTCTTCATCAGGATGTACATTAACCGCTTTCTTTCCTGTCCCTCCTGGCACAGCCTCATCCCTACGCACCAGTATTTGGAAATCACATTAAACAACCGTAGAAGTGGCAAAGTGGATGGGGAAAAGCCCCCAGGCTTCAACCCTGTGCAGGTAACCACAGGCAATGAAGGAACGCTGAAAGCAGGAGAAATAGTCTTCCCCGGGGAAGTGCACACGAGTCGATTACCCAGTACTAAATGGTCAGCTCTGGAAACATACATACAGGCAACATTGTACAGAACTAGTAGTTTTATATACATAAATATGATTGTGTATATTCATATGTATATATATATATACATATATAGTACATGCATGAAAGAATAATTAATGAAAAAAGAGGCCATGGATTTCCAAGAGTCCAAGGATGAGCATATAGGTGGGTTTGGGGGGAGGAAAGGGAAGGGAGAAATGACATAATCATATTATCTCAAAAATAAAGGAAATAACAAAAAAAATTAAGAAAAAGAAAAGTATGTTGCTGAAAACAAAAACTGTTCCTGGTTACATTCCTTAGGTCCGCCACACCCGTTGCTTCCTTGAAAGTGCATCTGGGAGGTGTGAATAGCCCCAGGTGTGAAAGCATTCTAATCACCACACACTCAACTGCTCAGAGTCCAGGCATCAGAACCACAGAAAGAAGCTGTTGTCTCAGCAGTAGAGGAACCGCCCTGAATTATGTTCCCAAAGGCTTCTCCCTGCTATGTTCTGGTCACCAAGCTTGTCCTCTGTATTCAAGGCCACTGACTATAAGGAATACTAAGTGGACATAGGGCAAACTAAAAATAAATGATTTCTCCTTAAAAATTTAAGCTGTATGTTTTGGTTATATCATGTGTGAATTTTGTAGATGGAAAACCAGCACTAAGTTGAAACAACTTAAAAAACCACATTGCGTGATATACAGACTATTGCAACCAATAAGGCATAGACTTCTGTCTTCAGAGCTGGGAGGTCATTCAGGAAATGAAGAACACAATTTGGAGGACAGAAGTTTATGCCAAACCCTGTAATCTAGCCAGTCTTTACCTACACCATTATCTCTGTTGGGGAACATGGGTTGAGGTTCACAAGAGATCTCACTCTGTAACACGGGTTAGGCTGGAACTAACTACATATCCCAAGGTGACCTCAAACTCAGAGCAGCTCTCCTGCCTCAGCCTCCCAAATATTGGAGTTACAAGCATGAGCCACCACATCTAGCTTTCTTTTCTCTAACAAATTCTGTTTTCTAAGAACTATTTCACCTATGAAGAGCCAAACATCTAAGCTTGCTTGCTCTGACATGCTGCTCTCCAGCATCAAGAAGCCAGTTTAGCTGGGCGGTGGTGGCCCATGCCTTTAATCCCAGCACTCGGGAGGCAGAGGCAGGTGGATCTCTGTGAGTTCAAGACCAAGCCTGGTCTACCTAGCGAATTCCAAGACAGGCTCCAAAACAACACAGAGAAACCCTGTATCGAAAAACCAAAAA